TACTACATGTACAAAGTTGTGTTACAGAGTTGGTTGACAAAATAACATCTACACCAATCATTTTAAAAACAGATTTTTAAATAATTTGAAATCAACGGGCTAAATTTTGCCAACACACTTTGTAACTCAACTTTGTACAAATAGCTTTATTGATATTTCTAATACTCTGTAATGACATGTCATTATAATTCGAGGGTTACATTCACCTTGTTTGGCCTACATCAAAATTATAATTTATTTTTATTTCTTCTTATTAATCATACATTTTTCAATAAAATAATATTATACGTAATTCCAAAAAAATTTCTTCTTTTTTACAACACATTTTTCAAAAAAAAAAAAAAAAAATAATTCCAACCATTAAAATTTCAAATAATGGGGGGCAAACGGGGGCTCATACAAAAGAATTGTGGATTCATTTTTTCATCAAATGTTATCTACTGCAAAATTTTTGGGTGTATTGTTTTTCTTCTTCGATGCTCATGTATGGCACAAATTTCAACTAAAAAATATATTCCATTATAAGGATGTTCAAGTTTCATTTATGTTGTCACAATTGTTTTCCTTTCAATAATTTCAAATACTTAAAATTGATAAATGAAAAGGAAAAGTAAAAATCATTGTTCTTCGAACACCTACCTCGCGAGTAAGCACGAAACTCGCTTTAAAAATGAAAACGAAAAGGTGGAAACTCTTCCATTTTGTGAAGTCCTTTTTAAGCCTTTGTTTGAGTTCCCTTTTAAGTAGCTAAAATTATAAGTGGCAAAAATGAGTAGTGGATACAATAAAATATATTTGAGTGGACCCCACCCTCCATGTGAGAGGGGTGTACACCGTGATGTATGCCGTAATGTACCCGTAGCAAAATCGATTTTATAATTTGCAGTGAATGAGTAGTACAATCTTGAATTATTAAAATTAATTGTACTTGCAACTTGAATAGGATTCCACACTTGACTCGGTATTTTGTGGAATTAACTTAGTGCACTTCTCCTCTTTAATTATTTTAAAATTCTTTCTAACCGCACTTTGCCAAAATTCTAGACTTCGTTACTTAATCAATATTTCGTGTTGTAAGGAATTAAAAGTAACTTTTTTTTATCTATAGAATTCGCGTGCAACGTCTGGACTGTGGATATTTTCTACCGTGACTGAATTCATTAAATAAAATAAATTGTTTAGTATTTTTGCATTACAAATAGATATATGATACTGTAGACAATTAACAACCTTTATTTAAAGAAAATTAAACAGATTTTCATAATAGTTTCTCTTTTTACAATTTTAAGACTGTTTGTGTTTGAGTTATATTATTTTGGAAAAATGTATTTTAGAATAGTAGATTGATAGAGAATGTGTGGTTGAAAAAGAAGGAAAAATTATTGATGTGATGAAAAATATTATTTTATTAAAAAATGTATAGTTGAAAATGGGCAGAATAATGATAATGAAAATTTAATGTGGCTCAAATAGTGGCATAATATTAATTAGGATCATTCTTATGGTACATCAAGAGGTACATCAGGGTGTTCATTATGAACACCCGACGTGCTCTCATTGGTGGGGGTGCCTGTGGGATTGGCTCCCCCACCAATGGAAGCGCGCCGAGTGTCCATTATGGACACCTTGATATACATAGTGATGTACATCAAGAATTATCTTATTAATTATTAGAAGATTAAATATAAAAATAGATGGAAAAATGTTGGACATAATTATGACAATGAGCATAGATTAAAAAATTTCAATACAATTAAAATATAACATATTTATTAAAAAATTATGGTGTTAAAATAGTTTGCTTCTAAAGAATGCACCTGGTTAAGGTTACAAAATTTGCTAGTACATTTTTCTCCCTACTGTCCTGACGTACACCTTCATTGCGTGTATACCTCTCCATCTATATAAGAACGTTACTCCCTTTCCCCTTCTTCTTCTTCATCTCCATTTTCTCTCTCTCTCTCTATAATATCATGAGAATGAGTTGCAATGGCTGCAGAGTCCTTCGCAAAGGTTGCAGTGGTGACTGCACGCTCAGGCCTTGCCTTCAATGGATCAAATCTCCTGAATCTCAAGCCAACGCCACTCTCTTCCTTGCCAAATTCTACGGCCGCGCCGGACTTATTAATCTCATCAATTCCGGCCCTGATAATCTCCGCCCAGGTAAATATACATAAACCCACGAAAAACGTGAAATGATTATTTCTTCATATTTTGTGTTGAAGTTTTGTTAATTGGTCTGTGCAGAGGTTTTTAGGTCGCTTTTGTATGAAGCCTGTGGGAGGATCATCAATCCGATATATGGATCGGTGGGACTGATGTGGTCTGGAAATTGGCAGCAGTGCCAGGCAGCTGTGGAGGCGGTGCTCAAAGGTGCTCCCCTCGTGCAAGTTTCTAATACTGATGGGAACAGTGCTACACAGGCACGCTCCATCATGCCTTTTCAGGGCTGTGACATCCGCCACCTCTCAAAGAACTCCGCCGCCGAAGCCATCCATCGAGTCCGGACCCGCAAACGCTCCGCCCCGCAAATGAACAATCCCCTACACGCGATGGCTGCCGCCGCATCCGAGTTGATGAATGAGTCAGAAGAGAAATTTACCATAACGGGATGGGATTGCGCTGAAGATTACAAAGCTTTTGAGGATCAGTTGAAGAGAGCCCCTAGTCACGATTCCTACTCCGTTGAAACAGTGGAACCCTCATTGCTGAACCCGGATACTGGCTTGAAATCGGTGCCCCATCACACTGAAAACGATGATATTGGATTGGAGTTGACTCTGGGGTTCAATCCAGTGCTGCGCAATCATCTGCCCACAGTAATAGAGCTCTCTGATAGCGAAGGTTGATAAGAAAAAAAAATCACAGTTTTGGCGGCTTCAAACTAGTCGTTACTCTCTAGTCATTTTCCATTTTTCTTTTCCTAATGGTAGAGCTTGTTTTCAGTACTTCCATTTTTGTATTTCTTTTTGTTCTATAGAGATGGAGAAGTGAAGTTTTTGTATATATATGTTACCAACTTGTCATTTCATCTTCTTTTTATGATTTCTATATACTATGAACAAATCAAGAAATAGTGCATAAATTTCATCTCCAATTCCAATATTTTGGTCACTGATTTTAAAAATAATAAATATAGAGAATATGCCAAATACAGATTGGATATATTTGGAACAGAATTGAGGAATCCAATCTGTTTGGTAGAAAAGGGTGAAATAAGTGAGGTGAGAGCGCAGAGAAATGTTGGCAGTCTGATTGCGGCGTCTTTCGACACATGCCGTTCATGCAAGAAGCCATGGAGATTGGAGTTGCCAAGTTTTTACTAATTTTTTTTTTTTTTTTCAAAAACTATAGCTATTTTATTAATAACAAAAATTAAAACAAATTACTGACTTGAGAGGGTTTCCGTCTATTACCGTACTTTTAACTACTAATCACTTTTAGACTCGCTACTTGAAGGAATGTCTTGAATTTATTTTTGTACCAAGTTCTTGAATATTGCTTGCGTCCTTCATCTTATCGCGACTGTTGAGAAAGAATTAATCGATGTTTATCTCTCAGATACCGTAGTTTCTTTTCTCCAAGAAAAGAAGTTGAGGACCCGTGGGTCTTCTACTTCTACTCGCCATTTATATTCACCCATTACGAAAAATTCTCCATTGTTGCCTTCCGTAAAAGTCGGGACCAAAAGTGAGAGAAACCTCGTCCCCTCTTTCCTTTTTTTCGCTCATATGTTTCGACAAGGGGACATGGAAATATAGAGAAGGTAATGATTCAACTTGTTTCGACCTATTATGTCATGAGATTGGTCTTATAGAAACATGTAAAATATATGGCTAATTTAATAACGAAAATTTCATAACGGACTATGGTATTATATCATGATTAAAAGATCTTACAAGAAATTTAACCAAATATCTCAGTAGTTACACCGTAAACACATAAGAATAGCGCGTCTGGTATACACTATTAAATAAAACAAAATAATATGCTGAAATTTTTTTAAATTTTTTTCTTGTTTGACAATCATTCTTTCTCATTTTTTTCGATACTTATTTTTAACTATATCTTCTCACAATAAAATATTCTTTTAAGTAAATCTAAATTTTTTTTCTTATTTTTTAACCACACATTCTCCCTAAATTTACTATTCATCAAAAACCCATTCTTTCCACAAAAAAAAAAAAAAATTAATGAGTTTACACGTAATTTACCACTCATTTATATTGTGTAAAAGTGCTTATGTCACCATAATTACTTTTCTAGTGAACTCAAAAGAAGCATAATTTGCATCACGTGCAGACCTAATAATTTAGATGGTGTCTTTTGTTTATAAGATAAGTTGGCTCTTAAGGAAGAGATTGGGGTATAAAATTTATTACTTATGTCAAATAGTCATGTTGAATTAAAACAAAATCATAATCGAATTTCACAAATTTTTTAAAAGAGATTATTATTATTTTTTTTTAATATGGCTTAATTTCAGGATGATCAAACGAAGTTCTAATCTATTGAAATGGGGAAGTTTAATTAATATATTTTTTTAGGAAAAAAGGACATTCTCGTTAACCTATTATTGAGTTAAAAATCACGATTCTAATAAAATTATAAGTTGTAAAATTTCAGACTAAAAGTACTTAGAGACTGTTCTCTTTGTGTTTCAGTTTTTAATTTTGAGTTTTGAATTCATTTTGGGTTTTGTGTTTTGAATGTCCATTTTGAGATTACTGACAACGCGTTCTTTTCGTCATTTTGAGAAATTGTTTAAAAAAAAAAAAAGTTTTCGCTTAGTTTTAACTGAAAACAGCCAAAACGATTTTTTTTAGCGTTTTCCGTTTGATTTATAAATTTTAAATTCGTTTCTGAAAATAGGTAAGTAAACGCGTTTTCAGTATTTTAAAATTTTGAAAATTGAAAATGGCTTGAAAACAGTAAATAGAACATGCCCTTAATAATTGGGTCAATTTACGAATTTTAGTATGATATTAAATTCGAATTTGATTGAGCTATTTGGAGTTGAAATTAGGCAACTTATTTCATCAAAGAAAAAGTAAACAACATCATTTTGTTAATCGAGTCACTTTTTCTACAGTGCTGCACAAATTCAAAAGTTTATTATTCAAAGGAATTGTTTAACCAAATTAATTGTTTGTTGGGTTCTTAAAATGAAGTGTAGGAACGTGAATCTTTTTATTTTTTAATCATGAACGTTTTTGGTTCGTCACGTAACTAGTGATTACAACACCTTGATGGAGAATTTAAGTTCTTATAAGTTTCTTGGAAATTGACTCAAATTTAAATATAATTTTTTTTCTAATTATTGTTCGCAACTTGACCTCTTTAAAAATAAAAAAGACACATTCAGACCGCAAGAAAATAAGACATCGACTAGAATCATAAATTAAAAAATCACTTGATGACTGCATGGATGACGATTCGTGTTCTAAAGAATCGTTGTGCCATGGCACTTCCTTACATGTAGAGTCAGGTCCTTATTAATTAATATTAATTCAGAGTGTGACAGAAGAATCTTGCTCTTTTACTTAAGCAGATTGCCACATAAATTTTTAGTAAAACATTATTAATGTCATTGTCTTAATGTAATTGAGTTTAAGAATTCTTACCGACCAAACTGCCTAATCTACAGTGATGACTCTTTAATGCTGCATTAAGACAGCTAATTAATGCTTCTTAATTGATTTGTGCTCGAGATGTAACATTGTAATTGGCACAAATTACATTGTCATCGCCCTTCTAGAATTCACGTCGGCTGTTCCAATTTCATGTCCCCATAAGTATTTCTTCATTAAAAAATGACACATCACCAAATGAAAAAACAGTATTGTTACAATTTACAATATCTTTTTTTAACGGCTTTATTTACAATTTAGAATGTAGCAAACAATTTTACTATTGATTTCAACAATGATTAAAATAATCAATGATCTCGATTTTGCTACATCAAATGATGTCAAACTAGCTGTATACAATGGGTGTACAATTGGTTTAATTCATGAGAAAAATAAGAAATTTAATATTACTTCCATCCCATAAGATGAATAATATATAATACTATCTAACACTATCACCTATCTATGTGCCATTATATGACTTGCTCAATTAAAGATGAAATTATGTTATTCATTTAATTAAACTTGTAATTTAATGTCGTTAGTGCTGCCACCTGAACTTGTGTTAGACACTAAAGACGGGCTCTTTTTCATTTTCATAGAGATTAATAAAAAGTAGTTAACATTGTTGAAAATGTGAATTTTTCTTACAATTTTTTAATATGCCCCCTATATTAAATAATGATTTAAATAGAATTTTGTTATATTTGTTGATTACAAGATATATTAAATAAGGATTTATTATAAAACTAAAAAATATATATACTTTTAATAAGGAAAGTGGCCTCTCCTATATACGATATGGTCGATTTCCATCCCTATTGGTCAGAAGATTAGAGAATCTGTTTCCAAATCTTAATGTCTTTTTCCACTCATTGACATTGATTCATCCTGCTATGCTCTGGGCCTTTTGCTCTTCTAAAACAGAACAAAAAAAAAAAACTCATCTTTATAGGACGGGGGAGTAGTTATTAATAGTATGTTATGAGCTCATTTGGTAGAATTTTTGTTTTTATTTCAATTTCTTATAGAATGAATTCATGAAAAAGTTATCTTAAGCTAACTATCTGTAAAAGACTAAAAGTTATTCCAATCAAACAAATATTTTTAAAAAATCATTTAAATAAAAGCAGCTTTTTAATCTTAAAATCAACTTTTAACTTTTGAAAATCATACCAAATGGATCCTAAGTTAGGGCTTGATTCTTTCTGTCTTTCCATATGGTTCAATCCAAATGCACTATAATTATCCTTTCTAACTTTTTTTTACATTTTTATTCATGAAGATCCTTTCTAATAATTTATAACTTTAGTGTGATTTTAACCTTAAAATGCCCCTCAAAATGATGTGGATATTTGAGCACATCAATCTTAAAATTAAAATGTTTGTTTAAGGACCTTCAGTTATCAATTTTGTTAAGAGAAGTAATCCAAACTATTATATATATATAAAGTTTTTTATGAGAACAAGACCTAAGTTAAATGGTAAAAGCAAAATCATACGAGATTAATAACTTGAATTCGATCCTCCTCGAGGGGTAAGGGTGTGATTCATCAAAAGAAAGAAATTTAGTCTTTTTATAATTAATCAATATGGAAAACCCTTAAATGGGTGTAATAAAATAATATAATTGTGTTTTAAAAAATAAAATTCAAATACAATAAAACATATTTACTTGAATAAATCTAAGTGTACAACATTGGTTGACAACAATAATTAACAGTCATGTATTGTCAAAATTCCAGTATGTGATGAAGAAAATGGTTTTTTTTAAATGGATGAATATGATGATGTCAAATAGGACGTTGTCAATCAATATTGTATATGTAGCACGATTCTATTTATTTTTCTGATGTAGTTATTTTATTTTACTTTTATCACGTTTTAATCTCTTTATGGCGTCTGTATATCTGACAACCAATTCATGGTCGGAATTAGTTTAATTAAATTTCTCATTTTCTATTAAGTTATCACGATGCATGCCCAATTGATCTTGAGCCTCATCTCCTTTTTAATCTTTTCATCGAAGTCATAAGACGCGGCAGAGATGTGTGTGTGTGTGTGTGTGTGTGTGTGTGTGTGTGAGAGAGAGAGAGAGAGAGAGAGGAATCTTTGAATATTCTGGAAACTAGCTAGGGTAACAGGTAACTTCCCAGTTTCTTCAATGGCTTAATTTATTGCAAACGAATGTGACAATTTTCCGATGACCAATGGGGATTCTTGGTCGGGCAAGAATTTAAAAAAAAAAAAAATCTTGTTTAGTCACAATTTGCAATTTTTTAATTCATATATTGTGCAATTGATTTTTGTATTTCACCCTTTTGGAAGTAACGTACCAACTTGAACTTGGACTTGGCTTGTGTCTGCCACACGCTATGATTAAATTATTTTAGTGCTTGGAAAAAATCATCTCACTTAGTAACTAATGATTAAATAATTCTACTTATTAGCATTATTTTAAGGGAAAATTGCAGCCGAGGTACCAAATCTTGTTTAGTCACAATTTGTAATTTTTTAATTAATATATACGTGCAACTGATTTTTATATTCAAAAATGCTAAACGGACAGGGTCGGTGACAGACCAGAAAACAGGGTGCCACCTCGACCCTTGATTTTTACTGTTGAAAATCAGATTAAGGGCCGACATGAAGTCACCTTGGCCCCCTGTTTTTGGGTCGGTCACCGACTCTGTCACTGTAGCAAGTTTCTTTTATATTTCACCCTTTTGAAAGTAACGTGCCAACTTGGACTTGGCTTGTGCCTGCCACACGCCATGATTAAATTATTTTAGTACGTGGAAAAAAATTACATGACTTAGTAACTAATGATTATATAATTCCATTGATTAGCATTATTTTAACAACAAATTAACCGTATAATTGCCCCTCACCATGTGTAAAAGGTATCTCTACAATTTAAATATCAACATTAATAGTAAGTTCATTGTATGTAACAAAAAATGCACCACCAAACTTGACTTCCTTTCATATCGACATGCGAAAAAGGTAAACGCACGAAAGTCATTTTTTTATAATAAAAATATAAAAAAAGAGTTTTTTATTCACTTTATATATTAGCGACTTTTTTAATTGTGTAGTTCTCTTTTATCAATGTATAAATTCTAAACGAACTCGTTCATCTTCTTACAATTGGCGATCAATTGTATTCAGTTCGGAGACGATTTAAACTAGGGATCGATCTTAATCAATTCAGCCGTCATTTATGGTAAAGCTATTTACAGTAACTAATACATAGTAAAGCTCTATAAATTAAAACCCTAAAAGTAAGATTATTTTCGTGTTTAATTTCCTGGTTATTAGAACGCTTGCTCAGATATTTAAAGTAACTAAGGGAGTGTTTGCTGGATATTATTGAGGAAAGAATGTATTTTAAATAGTGATATAATGTGAAATATGTGGTTAAAAAATAAGAAAAAGTTATGAATACGATGAAAAATATTATTTTATTGAAAAATGAGTTTTGAAAGAATGTATATCAAACTTGAGCTAATGCATATTTATCCATGCTTAGTCTAGTCAAGATCCATTCACAAGAAAAAAGTATATTCATATTTCGAATTAAAAAATAAAGATGCATTGATTCGAGACTATTTGACAAATGCTATAGTGGGTAGTTAAATAAATCCTAAAACATAATTAAATATTGAATTTGAAATTATTTATTCATAGGTTATTGTTTCTAATCTTATTTTATTGCTAAGCTTAGGTGGCAATTGATTTTTAAAATGTAAAGTTGAACGGATTAGTTTAGCCGCATAAATATTAGAATATTATATTTTACACGTCAAAGAAAAGAAAAAGAATATACACATTATAAGGTATAAGTTTATGTTTGGTAAAGATTTTTTAAATTTCATTTTTTTTTTCAAACTCACTTTTAACGATACATTCTCGCAGTAAAATAATTTTACATGTGAATCTATAATTTTTCCATTATTCTTGACCATACGTTCTCTCAAAAATTGCTTACTCACTCTACACACTTGTGTTTGATGATAATGTAAAAAGAAGGGGAAACCAAAGGACCTTTTAAAATTTAACCCTTTCTAATTCATTTTAGAATTTCAGTAAAGAGAATTAGGGCTCGTATGACATTGTTTTTGCTTTTACTTTTTATTAAAGAGATTTTTGAAAAAGTTATTTTAGATTAACTTTCCCTAACAGCACTTTTAACAATACAAAATACTTTCAAAAAAATTATTCAAATATATTCAAAAACTAAAGCTCTCTTAATTGGCGCTTTTGGCTGTTTTAACACTGAATTATTCATATTGCGGTACAACTACTATAACTTGATAAATTAGTTTGACAAAGTTTGATAGAATTTAGATAAGATTTGAATAAAATTTGCTATGGTTCGTGGTTGAAAAGTTATAAAAGTTGACGACCTCATTAATGTGTGGTTAAAATCGAAATTTGACCAATTGATAAAAAAAAATTAACTTTTTTCATATCACTAGTTGATGCACGTGCAATG